TTAAACGTCCTTTCATCGTCCTATTCATTATACATGTGATATCAGACTTTCTCTGGGGCGTACCGCAACGATAGTAAGTGGAAATCACTTGTTGAAACTTTCTGCATACTTGATCGTAATTAAAGCGAATAAGAGTATTCCATTCGGGGCAGTGCCTTTTGTTAACAGTTTCTTCGGTCTTAAGTCAAATTTGTTAAATAGCAAGATTCGTGCATTGCTGACCCTAAACTTGTCGGTCCATTATCGCGGTTACTATAAACATATTCATGCCATCATGCACCTGCTTTGAGACTTACAGTTCGATTTGTGATCTTATGCGTAATGATCAGCAAGGAAGAACGTGATCGTGTCAGATAAAGCATCGCATTCGTAGGTTAAGAGATTAAATTACTACCGTAATAGAATTTCGAGTTATTTTTGACTTTTAAATAACGTGCCTTCATTGTGTGCTTGGAAAACTGAAGGAAGTCGCTTTAAACTGATTTCACTACGCAAAATCATTCCTTTTCCTGCTAGTAAACAGCGCCGATTTAGGGCTTTTCTCTTCGTGAACCAGTGCTTCGAAATGCCGCCTGTATATTCATCCGTGAAGACAGAGGTATGTATGTTTTATGACATTGGAAACCTAAATTTGATGTCATCAGCTAAAGCTTAAGCCAGCTGTTCATTGCTAAATATCGGGGAATATCAGCTTCTGTTTTGTTTTTTCATTACTTTGGTTCGTTTAAAATTCTAGTTCTTTTGTTGTGAGTATTTCTGACCCCGCCCTGCGGATTTGTGGCGTATCTTTTTCTTACCTCTCGACTTATTTTACTAGTAGATTTCCGTGATCGTCGTTTAACCTCGATCAATTTCTTTCAGATACTTTCTGGCAGCATTTTCTTCGAGCTGTTCAATAAACATTTCTCAGCAATATTCAGGTTTATTATCTAATATTAATTAGTCAGATGAGGTATAATACGGCATTGCAGTTTTATGAAGTTGTTTTATCCAGTGTTTGAAATCACAGTATATTCATCATATTTGAAATCACAGTTCTTTTGCGAGTAATATTTAATGATAACAGCTGCTTAATCCCTTTCTATGGCATCTTTCGAACATTTATAAAGGCGAATGTGCAAAATGGACATAGAAATGGAAACCTGTCAAGGACAAACAGAACCGAATACTTTGAGAAGTAACCAACCAAATGCAACAGCTAAACAAGAGAAGCGTAAATAAAACAGCGAGAAATAGTGAAAAGTGTATAATTGGGCCAAACAAAACACCTGTGTGCGAGTAAGTTAAGTAGAAGCCGTAGCATCAGAAAAGCTTTGAACGTATCTGAACAGGTTCGAACAGTACAAGTACAACAGGACCTTCGCTCAGAATGCTCAAGTCTTCAATGGAAAACTGGACGCAAAGAACAAACGTGCCAGTAATGCATAGACCATTGGTCCTAACGCAGAAAAATCGCTTAAGTTCTGGAGAAAGATATGGAATTACGAAAAGCCAACAGCAAAGAAGGTACAGGGTAAAGGAAATACAAAAGAATGCAGATGAAATCTCTGAGCAGAGGGACGGCACAATCACATAAATAGTGTACGCGAGACGCACAGAAAGTTTAAAACCTGGGCAGCGCCAGGTTTGGATTAGGTGCATTATTCTGGCTTAATCAGCTAACATGTTCGCACTCACGAACAAGTATTCTTGCAGAAAATCCTTTTTGGCTAATAGAAGGAGTGATAGTCGGAAATTGGAACATACCCTCACTCAGAGGAAAAGAATATGAATTAGTTGATGAGGCCACGAAGTAC